TAAAATGAGGTTGATATATGTAAATTACCCTTGTGAATCTTTGTCACTTTTTCATATATTATCTAAAATGAGGTTGATGTATCTAAGTTACCCTCATGAAATTTCAATTTTTACTTCAACTTATTCTAAAGGGAATGCTACTTTTAACGTACTGCATAGATGTCTTCTTATTTACTTTTTAATCATGCAATTATATTCTATATATTTTGTGAAGAACGTACCAAGTGGATTTATAAATACATTGGAACATCTATGTCTAGAGTTGAGATATGCTATCAAACTTTTGCTGTCCAATTTGCCGTTCATTAATTAATTATTGACATGTAATTTTAAATTAACATGTCATTTGTTGGTGGATTAGTGGTAAAGTTAATTAGAGTAAATTTGAGATGACATTTTAATTTAAAATTAATAGGTCAATAATTAATTGGATGGATATAAAAAAATAGATAGCAGATGTCAACTCTAGAGGACGAGTTCCATTCAATGGAGTCATCAAGTTATCTCAAGTTATGTAGTTACAAGTCGCGTTTTTCACTGGCGATTTTTGGCTTTTTTTTTGTTCCACTGCACCCGAAACGCGGGCTACTGTCGTGAACCGTGGTCTACGTTTCACGTTTTTGGTCATTTGCCCCGTCATTCTTTTGTCTCCACGAATTCCCGCAAAGCTCAAAAACCCTTAAACCCTAAAGTTCCCTCCACTCACACTAACACTCTAGTTTCAGTACGATGATTGATAACATAAGTTTCCCTAATATCAATCCATCGAGGATCGAAATTCCCTATTTTCTCAGATGCCTGTAGTTACAGTTTGGTGAACATTGGGCTGTGATTTTTTTTTTTTAGATTTTTTTTTCCTGGGTTAAAAATGGCGAGGCTTCTTCGAAATGCGTCTTCTCTCAGGCGCTCTTTGTTTCCGCAGTTACAGGTCTTTCTCTCCTTATAGGTTTCTAATTGTTTTGTTTTCCCTGTTTCTGTCAGTTGCTCTTCATTTTAAAAATGCAAGAAAATGGAATTCTTTGAGAGATTTGTTATTTATTAACATTTAAAACACTGTTAGATGTTAAATGTACTTGATATATAAATGGGAATCCATTTAAAACCTGGGTTTTTGTTTTTATTTGAACTTCATAAGTCAAAAATGGGAATCCTAATCCAAGAATTATTTTTCCTTCAATTCTCTTGTTCTATTATTTGTTTTTAGTTTGTAATGGTGGATATGTGTTGTTGAGGGTGGGTTTTGTATTTGGGTTTACAAAACCCGAAGATGTTATGTGGTTTAAATATTGGTTTTTATGTTCTCAGGAATCCAGGCACGGTATATCAAAACCAACCACTCAACTATGCTACTTTGCGACCAAAGGTGCAGAAAATTTCTCTATATTATTGTTCCTGCATTTATTGTGATCTCTTTTACTTGCTCTAAAGTAAGTGTTATAGATGAATTTTGTATTTAGTGCTTTAGCCAGAAAAAGGAAAACAGAATGTGTGTTTATCTGGTGAGCCTGTTTGAGCCCCATTGAAAAGTTAAAAATGCATTTTGGAATAGCAAATTGATGGAGAATATGTGGTTAAAAAATAAGAAAAAGTTTTGGGTTTGTGTGTAATATTATTTTATTGAAGAATGTGCGGTTGAAAAGAAAAGAGAGAAAAATGTATTTTGAAAAAAATAGGAATCAAACAATGGCTTATAGATCACGTGTATCTCATAGAAACTCTTTATGAAAAATGATTTGAGTTGTATTCTTACAGTCCACATCAAGAGGGATATTTGTGTAAACTAAATGCACTGGTATTTGGTATCTGACCTTTATATTTTGGAAAATGCTATGATGTGTGCACAAGCATTTTTTGGGCAGTTATGTAATCAGATTCTCCAAGTCACACCTGCATAATGAAGTAGTTCCTAGGCATTGATTGGATCCATCCTAGTGTGTTATGTGATATTGATTAAAATTATCCTATGCTGGTTGAATGGGTGATTTGTGGTGAAGAGGCATCAACTCTTCCAACTATTAACTCTGTAGTTGAATAATTACGCTGTTGCATTTCTACTTACTGAATCACATTTTGTATTATTATTGTATTGATATTTACTTCTGCACACATAACTGCATATAGAAAGGGCCCAGAGTTTTTCTGTGGATTTCTTATCTGGGGGAACATTGATTTCTAGTCATGGACACTAATTTCCACTATTGAATCCTTTCTTCCCTTGCCTAGGTCTACTTGAATGATTGGAATAGTGTATTAGTCCTAGTTCTTTTGAAGTTATACATGCATATTTTCTTTTTATATCATTACTGAGCTGTTTCCAAGGGTTTCTACTTTCTACAATATCATGTTTGAGAAGTTCTTTGATTTTTCCCTTCATTCTTGGTTTTTTCGTTTGAATGCAACATCAAAAATTAATATCCAGCATTTCTATGTGTACGAAGGTAAAAGGAAATCAAAGTCAGATTCAAGTGATTCTGGTGAAGAGAATATGTCCCCGAAAGATTTGGCCCTCAAGCTAGCTATCGATCAGATTACCTCATCATTTGGAAAAGGATCCATCATGTGGCTTGGTAGGTCAGTTTCTCCAAGGCAAGTTCCTGTGGTGTCTACTGGATCGTTTGCTTTGGATATTGCACTAGGAGTAGGAGGACTTCCAAAGGTATCATACATTGTTTTGAAGCATTAGATATTTTAATCTGTGTGCCACAATTGCCTACATGATTTTTTACATACATATTTTCTTCCACTGTAGAATTTATTTCCTATCTTTGTACGAGTCAGATTTGAAGAATATATCGTTGTACTGTTTGGGATAGGCATTTAAAGGATCAGAGATTCCTTCATTGAGCCCTTTGTCAATGTTGTAGTTGTTGAAGTTTTGGGGTTGGTTGTCCAAGTGCATACTTGTTCATTCTTGGAGTTTCCTTCACACTGTATCTTGTGAGATAAGTATAGTTTAACAGTATAGCCATTTCTTGCTAATGACTTACACATTGTGCAAGTGATTTGCGATGATAGTTACCATCATCCAATGAGTACATGAATACATTTTTTTGGTGATTAATAGATTAGGATTCTGACAGTCAATGATTTTTTCTTCGTTTTATTGCTCTTTCTCACCTGCACACTTAATAAGTTTATTTGATTATGGCCTTTTTTGGGATGGAATGCACAACGTGTTGGTTGTATATGCAGAAGAGCACAATATGTTAGTCACTTTATTAGTCTACATTACTATATGATTATATAATGCTACTAATTTGTTTAGGGACGAGTGGTTGAGATATATGGTCCAGAGGCATCTGGGAAAACAACTCTTGCTTTGCATGTGATTTCTGAGGCACAGAAACAAGGAGGTTAGTAAGACTATTTTACCCCGTTGAACTTTTGTAAGTCATATAGTGGCTAGGATTTATTCTTTAATTATTCTTTTTAGTGTATGGTCTTCACCAATCTGGCAATGGATAGATTTATTTAGTTCTACTAGTGTCAAAGCATATTTTAACTGACAGTTCAGTGCTCAAGAATTCTCTTGAGTGAAGATATCTACCTTTTGGGTGATTTCAATGTGTTTTTAGTCACCGAACCCAGAAAGTACGTGTGCTGTCTTCATCAATTATTTAGAAGATTGAATTGATGCAGGGTAATTTTGGTGCTAAAAGCAGCCTGTTTCTGTTTTCCAGCATAGATATCTGATGTATACTATATCACGTAATAATTTTCTTGATACCTGAAATTCAGTTGTTGACATGTTGGCTCCATCCACACTGGAAATTTGTACATCAAAGTTGAAATTAGCTCTTTCAATTCTTTATGGTGTTGTAGGCTACATTTTCAAATAAAAACATTTTGCTTTTTACAATGATTTTAATAATTTGTGGTTTATCTGTTCTCATTAAAAACTTACTAATTGTGGTGAGCTTGAAATTCACATGTGAGTAATCCCTAAGTGAGCCTCTATGGATTGAAAGAATCGGTTCCATTCAATATACTTACCTAGATGGGCATCTCGTCAATATTAATTCCTTTAGCAGTGGCATTATGAAAATGGAAAGAGGCGTGGAAATTGTGGCAAAAGTCCTAAAAGCCCAATTTTCATCAGTAGCTAGGCCTTGGAACTGGTTAAGTCTCAACTCAACTAGGGGTTCAAGCACTTGAGTTCTTTTTGGAAGTGGGCTTTTATTTCAAAACTTTTCTTTACCCAATTATTGCATTTTCTTTCCTGTTCTATCTTTAATTCGTCCATTAAGAAGTAGCTGTAGCGAGCAAGGAGTTCCTTTCTTTCTCCAATAGAAAATTAAAACTTAATCTTTGTTTGAATACGATTGAGGGATTCCTAGTTTGGTATGTAGAATGTGGATATCCGAGTATGAGAATGAGATAAAAGAGGGGTGAGGATGACGAAGTCTTGGTGGCGTAGAATACAATCAAACAAGAATGAGATTGAGAAAGAGAGAGGAAAAGAGAGGAGGGAGAGAAGAAGAGGGAGAGAATTTAGAGGAGAAAATATTAGTTTTATTCAGGCCCTGTTTGGTCCACATTATTTTTTTCATTCTCATTTTTCTACTAATTTTCAACCACACATTCTTCAATAAAATAATATTTTTCATCACATCAATAANTTAGACCCACATTAATTTTTTCATTCTCATTCTTAACCACACATTTTTCAATAAAATAATATTTTCCATCACATCAATAACTTTTCCTTCTTTTTCAACCACATATTTCTCATCACATCAACAGTAAAAATGCATTCTTACATTCAAAATGTGCACCAAACGGGAGCTCAATATCTAAGTCTAACTATTTCAATGCATAAATCCCTTTTATATGGGGTTTAAACTAGTCTAATTTAAGTAGGAAAATAGTAGTAAATCTATTAAATAAAACCCTAATTATGTTTCTTGAAACAAGTATCCAATTTGAAAAGTCAACTACTAATATAATACTAGAAAATGGTAGGAAAATAGTAGGAAATATCAGATTTGGTAAGTGAATTAATTAATATCTCTATTAGGATTCCCTCATTTCTCCCTAAAGAGAAATCGCCTCACACGAAATAGATTGCAACTTTATTCTCCAAGGAGGTCGATCTTTTGTTCAACCAAGTATTGGTATTGTACTCTTGATGGCAACCTAGGCGATATTTTTGGCTGACCAAATACCGATAGTAACTCCTGAAAGTAGCAGTGCAATTCATCCACGAAAACATCAATTGACTTGAAATAAAGAGGAGCACAAGGGACTAGCACAACAGTTTGGCATGGATAAACAAATGATTGCAACGATGAGAAAACATTCCCGCTATACCGGAAGCATAACTTTTGCAAATGTGATGGCTAGTCAAATATATTATTTTCATGTGAATGATTCAACTTATTTTCTTAACGTGTTTAGGAAACTCTATCAAAGAAGCATAAAAATCACCATTATAGTATCCGGGCTTGACAGTTGATAAAGGATCTTGTTAGTCTTACAATTGATGGGTGGATAGACACCTTGATACAACATACATATAGGTGGCATGAGGTGGTCCACCTGAAGCAAAAAGGAACAACCTACTATTTTGGTTTTATGAGTCCACCGATTTATATCAGATACTATGCTTCTCTTGACGAGATAGCCCACATCTTTCTACTAGACTAGATAGAACAAAGTATCTTGTCCATACTACAAGTTCCCATAGTCTGTCAAAGATGTAGTCAGTGTGCATGAGTCTAAATATCTTTATGGTTAAGGTCATAATGCCAAAGGAATACTTGGTAGCCGAAATATAGATGACATGGATTCCTTCTTATATCTTTCAATTGCTCTCAAATCTAACATCATAATACATTTGGTACAATAGCGTGTAATTTGTTAAGGAACAAGAAAAGCAAGGTGTGCAAAGAAAGAAAAGAATTAAGGGCAAAGGAAATCAATTTTTATTCATATATTTGGGGTTGAATGTTACAATAAATAAACCCTTTATTTATGAAACAAGAAATTGAAAAGAAGCTAAATTTAAAAGAACTTCTAATAAACTATAATTGTATCAAAATATCAAAACTAATCTTGTCTAATCTAATTGGAATTGAAATTCTATTTTAAACTTTTATCTAAACTATAACTGTATCTATATCTGTATCTCCATCAACATGTCTTGCACAAGCTTTAACTTCTGTTTCCTGTTGTCCTTTCATAGGTTACTGTGTCTTTGTTGATGCTGAGCATGCTCTTGATCCGTCCCTAGCCGAAGCAATAGGAGTGAATACTTCAAATTTGCTTCTTTCACAGCCAGATTGTGGTGAGCAAGCTCTTAGCCTTGTGGATACTCTAATCAGGAGTGGTTCAGTTGATGTTGTTGTTGTGGATAGTGTAAGTATGATGATATGGTTTCACCATATAATGTCATGGGTTGGGTAAATGGATTGCATTTTTCTTGTGATATAGTCATTATTTCATGTTTGCATTGGCTGGCAGGTAGCTGCCCTGGTCCCCAAGGCTGAACTTGATGGTGAAATGGGAGATGCGCACATGGCCATGCAAGCTAGATTGATGAGCCAGGCACTACGCAAATTGAGCCACTCTTTATCTCAATCACAGACAATCTTAATCTTTACAAATCAGGCATGGACCACAAACCTTTATCACATCCAGTCATGCATTTACAGCCCAATTGGAGCATCCAAAATGCTATATAATTTTGAACCTGGTGAACTGCGTCACACAATCACATTCATTATTGTAGTGGTGGTGTTGCATGTTAGGTATGTAGTTTGGTTCTCCGAATCACATTTACCCTTTCCCTTTTAATCTTCTTCTTTAACACGTCTAGTGCTTATCTTTTTAGTTTATACTCCTTTCTCGTTCTAGGAACTTTTTGGTTGAGTGGATGGTGAGAGATTTATTTTTTCTTGTATGGGGGTGTGAATTATGTGATCTACTATATAGAAATTACCAATAATCTGAAATTAAAGGTTCAAAAACAATTACCCCTTACTCTGGTCCAGAACTTCTTAGATCCTCTTTGTTATATGCGTATTTGGCTGTTTTGCTGAGGATACCTTCAAATTAATACAACTAGGATCCTGTTCTAGACCTGTATCAGACTTGGTAGGTTCTCTCAAGTGCCACAATTCTTACCCCAAACTCATATCATGAAGCAGGAGATGAGAACTTTATATTTTTGTTTTTCAAAAATCCACTTTTGTCCAGGTCGGGGGTTCGGCATTGACTCCTTCCCACGTCTATTGATTGAAAAAAATTGTTACATGATAGAAGGGGGTATACCATTCTTATTTTTGTTGCTACAATAGGAGAAACAGAACAAAAAAATAAAAAAATAATAATAATAAAATAGGAGAAACAGAGAATTTGCAAAAAAATAATAAACTTTGGAGTTCCATTATATAGAACCTTATTACCGAATTTATAAACTTGGGAGTCCTAGTTCCATTATCACTTCTATTGATTGCCAAAAATTGGTAAACGAGGGAGGTAGATTTGCCAGCCTTATTTCAACTGCTACAAAAGGAGGAGAGATAGAGATAACTTGCAAATTCTGAACTTGAAAATGTACCACTCCCATCACATAGAACCTTTACTGAATTTATGAACTGAAAGAGTACTCCATCCGTTGCTATTTGTCCGATGAGATCTAATGATTAGATTGGACTACTAAATGTAGACATCACAAAGACATACGAAAACACAACTGCAATGCAGATAACAAGCATGTAGCAATAAAACAATTTTGCAAAGCATGCAAAAAACTGCAACCTATGCATATGTAACCTCTGTGCTCATAGAAACTAGCAATTCCTAATAACTAATCCACAGCGTAACTAAAGTACGTTAAATGAAAAAATTGCACAAATAAGATACGCAATCAAGAAAAGGTGCAAACCAACACAAGATAACCATGCTATATGTCTCACCTAAATATGCAGCTTATACACTAACATCCTATAAGTAGAAAAACTCTGCAAAGCAATCCAAAAGAACATACCCGACTGAAGAAAACAAACTTGGGGGCAAATCCAGAAATCCTAGGCACTATTCACCTGCGACTTTGCAAAGCCATCAGAGCTAATTAAAATTTCTTCTTTAGAGCTCGGTCATACTTGGATTGGAATCCTCATCAGAGCTCAAGTTAAATTCATCAGAAGACTTCCTTGACTATCTTCCTCTTGCCCCTAATAATCCAACAAAATATGAGAACTTGAAAGACACCATAAACCAATGAAAGCTATAAAGAGAGAATAATTTAAAACATGTAATATGTGAACTTTGCTTTTGCGATGCCTTGAATCTCTAATGTTTTTCTAGAACCCTCGCAACAAAGTTCATTCATTTCTAAGTATTTTATATGTTGATTTAACAAAAGATGACAATTTTGTATCAGCAACAACATCTTTCCGACTCATTTCTGGATTAGGATCTTCTTGCCCCTTAATACTCGAACAAAATATGAGAACTTTAAAGATACCATAAACCAATGAAAGCCGTAAAGAGAGACTAAGTTAAAACACGTAATATGTAAACTTTACTTTGTCGATGCCTTGAATCTCTAATGTTTTTGTAGAACCCTCGCAACAAAGTTCATTCATTTCTAAGTATATTATCTGTTGATTTGACAAAAGATGATAATTCTGTACCAGCAGTAACATCTTTCTGACTCATTTCTGGTTTAGGGTCTTCTCTTGATTTTATGAAAGAGTCAGGTAGAAATATAATGTGCATTTATATTTGATTATTTCAGGGGG